TGATCTCCTTTGACTCCGTGTGTTATATCTAGAAGAGGTGAGTTCTCATGTTCTTGGGCAGTTCTACCATTGTGGCTTTGCAGGTTACAGCCTCCTTCTCAGCTGCTTTCATGGACTGGCATTGAGTGTCTGTGGCTTTTCCAGGTGCATGGTATAAGCTGTCACTGGATCTACCATTCTGGAGTCTGGAGGACAGTGGCCCTCTTCTCACAGCTCCACTTGGCAATGCTCTAGTAGGGACTCTTGGTGGGGACTCTGACTCCACATTTCCCTACTGCACTGCCCTATCAGCAGTTCTCCATGAGAGCCCTGCCGCCACAGCAAACTTCTGCCTGGACATTCAGGTGTTTCTATCTATCCTCTGAAATCTAAACAGAGGTTCCCAAACCCTACTTCTTGACTTTGGTGCACTGGCAGGCTTAGCACCATAAAGAAGCTGCTAAGGTTTGAGGCATGCCCCCTCTGAAGCCATCATTTGCCCCTTTCAACCACAGCTGGAGTGGCTGAGATACAGGGAACCAATTCCCTAGGCTACAAAGAGCAGAGGGGCGCCTGGGCCTGGTCCACAAAACTTTTTTTTCCTCCGAGGCCTCTAGGCCTGTGATGGAAAGAGCTGCTGTGAAGGCCTCTGACAGGCCCTGGGGACATTTTCCTTTTTGTCTTTGGGATTAATATTCCACTCATTACTTATGCAAATTTCTGCAGCAAGCTTGAATTTCTTCTCAGAAAAGGGGGTTTCTTTTTATCATATTGCCAAGCTGCAAATTTTTCAAGCTTTTATGCTCTGCTTCCCTTATAAATCCTAATGCCTTTAATAGCACCCAAATTATCTCTTGAATGCTTTGCTCCTTACACATTTCTTCTGCCGGATATACTAAGTCATCTCTATCAAGTTCAAACTTCCACAAATCTGTAGTGCAGGGGAAGAATGCTGCTAGTCTCTTTGCTAAAGTAAGAGGTTACCAACAAGTTCCTCATCTCCACTTGAGATGACCTCAGCCTTGATTTTATTGTGCACATGATTATACACCCATTCAACAAGTCTCTAAAAGGTTCCACAAGATACAATTTCAACAGGTTGATCCACTAGAAGTCTGTAGTTCAAGGCCAGCCTGGCCATTATGGTGAAATCTTGTCTATACTACAATTCCAAAAATTAGCCAGGAATGGTGGCAGGTGCCTGTAATACCAGCTACTCACGAGGCTGAGCCTGAAGGGTCACTTGAATCTGGGAGGCAAAGGTTGCAGTGAGCCAAGATCATGCCACTGCACTCCCTCCTGGGTGCCAGAGTGAGACTCCATCTCAAAAAAACACAAACAAACCCCAAACTCAAATTGTACAGTTTATTCCCTTCTTCCAGTTTTCGCATCACACATACATTAAAAAATAAACTGCTTAACTTCCCCCACCTCCCCAAGGCCCACAGGCCCTGCCCAACCCCTCTCTCTCATTCCTCATTCTGCTCAAGCCACACGGACCTCCTTGCTGTTCCTCCAACACGACACACACACTCCTGCCCCAGGGCCTATGCATGGGCTGTGTCCTCTGTCCGGAAAGTGCTTACCCCCAAATACCATCCTTCTCACACAGGTTACCCCTTTCCATTAAGACACTGGCCAAGGCTGGGCATGGTGGCCAGTGTTTATAATCCCAGCAATTTCGCAGGGTGTGGTAGGATCACATGAGCCCAGAAGGGTTTGCTTTTGTTTTGCTTTTCATTTTGTTTGAGACAGAATATTGCTCTGTCACCCAGGCAAGAGTGCAGTGGGTGATTTCAGCCAAGTGAAACCTCCACCTTCCAGGTTCAAGTGATTCGGCTGCCTCAGCCTTCTGAGTAGCTGTGACTGCAGGTGCCTGCCACCATGCCCAGTTTTTTTTTGTTGTTGTTGTTGTTTGTTTTCTGTTTTGTTTTCAGACAGAGTTCGTGTTCAGTGGCAGTATCTTGGCTCACTGCAGCCTCCGCCTCCCAGGTTCAAGCGATCCTGCTGCCTCAGCCTTCCAAATTGCTGGGATTACAGACATGGGCCACCATGCCCAGCTAATTTTGTATATTTAGTAGAAACTGGATTTCTCCATCTTGGTCAGTCTGGTCTCGAACTCCCAACCTCAGGTGATCCACTTGACTCCCCCTCCCAAAGTGCTGGGATTAGAGGTGTGAGCCACCAACACTGACCAATATCTTATAATTAAAGCATAAATTGAAAACGGAGGCAGTTTTATCCACTAGAGGTCTGTAGTTCCAGGCCAGCCTGGCCATTATGGTGAAATCCTGTCTCTACTATAATTACAGAAATTAGCCAGGCATGGTGGCTGGTGCCTGGAATACCAGCTACTCAGTAGGCTGAGCCACAAGAGTCACTTGAGTCTGGGAGGCAGAGGTTGCAATGAGCTGAAATCATTTACAGAGTGAGACCCAGTCTCAAAAAAAAAACCCAAAAACTCAAATTGGACTGTTTCTTCCCTGCTTCCTTATTTCCCATCACACTTACATTAAAAGATAAACTGCTTAACATACCCCACTTCCCCAAGGCCCACAGGTCCTGCCCAACCCGTCCTCCTTACCTCCTCCCTCTCTCCCACTCCTTACTCTCCTCAAGCCACAGGGACCTCCTTGCTGTTCCTCCAACCTGCCAGAAATAGTCCTGCCCCAGAAACTTTACATGGTCTGTTCCCTCTGTCTGGAAAGTGATTAACCCCCAATACCTTTCTTCTTACACTGGTTACCCCTTATTATTAAGATCTTGAGCCAGGCTGGGCATGGGAGTACATGCTGATAACCCCAGCAATTTCGCAGGCTGAGGTAGGAGGATAATATGAGCCCAGAATTGTTTGCTTTTGTTTTGTTTGAGACAGAATCTTGCTCTGTCACCCAGGCAGGAGTTAAATGAACTGAAACCTCCACCTTTCAGGTTCAAGCGATTCTACTGCCTCAGCCTTCTGAGTAGCTGGAACCACAGGTGCCTGCCACCATGCCCATTATTTTTTTTTGTTTTTTGAGACAATGTTTTACTTTTGTTGCCCAGTTTGGAGTTCAGTGGCATGATCTTGGCTCACTGCAAACTTTGCTTCCCAGGTTCAACTGATTACCGTGCCTCACCTTCCCAAATGGCTAAGATTACAGGCATACACCACCATGCCCAGCTAATTTTGTATATTTAATAGTAACGGGATTTCTCCATCTTGGTCAGGCTGGTCTGGAACTCACAACCTCAGGAGATCCACCTGCCTCAGCCTACCAAAGTGCTGGGATTAAAGCCATGAGCCACCAACCCCGACCAATATCTTTTCATTAAAACCTAAATTGGAGGCAGAGACAGGTAGATCCACTTGAGGTCAGTAGTTCCAGACCTGCCTGGCCATTATGGTGAAACCTTTTCTCTATTATTACAAAAGTTAGCTGGGCATGGTGGTGGGTGCCAATAATACCAGCTACTCAGGAGGCTGAGCCACAAGAATCACTTGAATCTGGGAGGCGGAGGTTGCAGTGAGCTGAGATCACACCTGTGCACTCCCACCTGAGTGACAGAATGAGACTCCTCAAAAAAAAAACACCAAAAATTAAATTGGATTGTTTCTCCCCTGCTTCCTTATTTCCCAGCACACTTACATTAAAAGATAAACTGCTCAACATCCCTCACCTCCCCAAGGCCTGCAGGCCCTGCCCAACAGGCCTTACTTCCCTTCTCCCTCCCCTCCTCCCTCTCTCTCCCCCCCACCCTGCTCCAGCCACAGGGACCTCTTTGCTGTTCCTCCAACAACTGAACATTCCATGGCTCCATGAGCTCACTGCCCCACTTCAACCTGGGCCACCCACCAAGGGGCTCTGCCTTGGTCTGGAAGCCCAGGGACCCCTGCAGACACACACACACACACAGATACACACACATGCGCTCGCACAGTCATCCAACAGTTGCAAGCAGCTCCTGAGGCTGAGGAGTTCTGCTCTCTCCTGGGAAGCTTCTCTGGGAGAGAGCAGCCCCAGGGCACACAGGCTGGCGGTACCTGGAAATCCCAGCAGGGACAGTTTTCAAGGAGACGCACCCCCCACAGTGTCTGAGCAGGCCTGAAGCACCGTGGGGATCCTTGGGGATCGCCCTGCGCATCCCTGAAGCTCCGCTGCAGCTTTTCTCAGCCTGGTCCCGCCCTGCTGGACTCCTGAAATCGCGAGACCCTGGCGACGATCTCGGGGAGAGGGGGGCCATCGCCTAAGGTCCAGGCACTTCCACTGAAGGCCGCTGTTCTGCCAAGCCCCTGAGACGGCCGTTCCCCAGGCCACAGGGACTGTCACTGTGATGCGAGCCGCGGATGGACGCTAGCGCTTGTGATGCGCCACTTGCACATGCACATTGGCGTGCCTGCTGGCAAGCGGCAACGTGGGCGCTCTGTGGCAGGGGAGCCTCAGTGGCACCAGAAAATGCTGGTGGCGGTGTCCCAGGCGGCCCCAGGGAAGGAGGCTGCCTGCCACAAGCTGAGCAGGAGCCCGACCGTCCTGACCTCAGTGGCTCCCTGAGCCGACTTTCCTGTTTGGGTCAGCTGGATGGGAAGGTGCTTGATACCGTGAGGTGGGCACTAGGGTCTGCTCTTCCCACTGGATTCCGGATCGGATGGCGTGGGCAGCGATTGGGTCCCGCAGGGCTGGAGATTCAGTCTGGTGATGTGTGGCGGGGGTCAGTGGACCTCAGAAAGATGCCTGAGACCCTCCGGGAGGGTGTCAGCAGAACGTTGCCCGGCTCCATGAGCTCACTGCCCCGCTTCGACCTGGTCCACCCACCAAGGGGCCCTGCCTTGGTCTCCAAACCCTGCTTCTCAGCGCTGCTGGCCGGAAAAGATGTGAACAAAGACAGCCGCAGAGGTGGCCACACCCGCAACTGGCCTCCCCCGGGGGCGGATCTGATGGAGAGAGTATCTCAGAAACTTTCTGGTGCAAAGCCCAATCCCGAGACGGATGTCCAGTTATGCCGCTGAGGACCTTCACGGAAGCCAAGCACAACATGCTAACGGATCTTAGTCACTTTATTGTTTTCACGGAAAACATCATCATCTTGCTACAATGTGTTTTCCTCAAATTGCTTTGACTGCCTGTATAGGGAGACCCGTTGTCACCTTGTCCTGTGGAGAGAAAAACAATTCCGGGTGCTAAAAATGCAGATTCAAACTCTCATGTGCTGTGCCCTCTGTCTAGAAAGTGCTTAGCCCACAATTCCTTACTTCTTACACTGGTTACCACTTTCTATTAACATCTTGGCCCAGGTTGGGCATGGTGGCACTTGCTTATAATTCCAGCAATTTCGCAGGCTGAGGTAGGAGGATTACATGAGCTTGTTTTGTTTGAGACATAATCTTGCTCTGCACCAAGACAGGAGTGCAGTGGGTGATTTCAGCCCACTGACACCTCCACTTTCTAGGTTCAAGAGATTCTCATGCCTCAGCCTTCTGAGTAGCTGAGACTACAGGTTCCTGCCATCATGCCTAGGTTTTTTTTTTCAGACAGGGTTTTACTCTAGTTGCCAAAGTTGGTGTTCAGTGGCAGGGTCTAGTCTCACTGCAACCACCGCTTCCCATGTTCAAGCAATTCTACTGCCTCAGCCTAACAAATGACTGTGATTACAGGCATGCAACATCATGCCCAGATAATTTTGTATATTTAGTAGAAATGGGATTTCTCCATCTTAGGTTGGTCTCAAACTCCCAACCTCGGGTGATTCACCTGCCTCAGCCACCCAAAGTGCTGGAATTACAGATGTGAGCCACCAACCCCAAACAATATTTTTTTATTAAAATGTAAATTAAAGGCTGGGACAGGTTGATCAACTAGAGGAGAGGTCAGAAATTCTAGAACAGACTGGTCATCATGATGCAATTCTGTCTCTACGACAATTACAAAAATAGGCCGGGAATGGTGGCAGGCGCCTGTAATACCAGCTACTCAGGAGGCTGATCCTGAAGGGTCACTTGAATCTGGAAGGCAAAAGTTGCAGTGAGCCGAGATCACGCCACTGCACTCCCTCCTGGGTGCCAGAGTGAGACTCGATCTCAAAAAAAAAAAAAAACAAACTCAAATTGGGCAGTTTATTCCCTGCTTCCTGATTTTCTATCACACCTACATTAAAAGATAAACTTCTCAAAAAAACCGACTCAAGATGGCACTGTGAGAACAACCCAGGATTGGAGCTCGTGTTGAATCCACAAACGGTGAGTTAAAGCTGCATTTCCAGACTGATCTTTGTTGCCCACAGAACGGGGAAACTCCCAAGTATAAAAAGACACGGGACGCCAGGAAGTAAGTCTGCGGCAGGGCGCGCTTGTCCGGGTGCCTTGTTGAACCGGCAACCTGAGACTTGAGAGGGCTGCACTTGAGACTGAACGAGACTTGGACAGTAGCCCAGCCCAGGGGATTGCAGGGACAGATCGTTTGGGATACCCAGTGTGACGAACAAAACCGCGATTTCAAACTATCCCGAGCAGATGGTCCGAGATGCTCTGTGGGAGAGGGGCGTCCACCACTACCGAGGCAACCCGCCCCAACTGAGATACACGCCCACTGCTGACGCAGCCAGCCATTGCCGAGGCAACCTGTCCCTACTGAGATACACGCCCACTGCTGACGCAGCCTGCCGTTGCTGAGGCAACACGCTACAATGAAGAGACTCCGCCGCAGGGCATGGCAGAGACCACAGCAGAGCCTGCAGGAACAGGGCGAATCACACAACAGCAGGGCGGAGCCTCGGCAACCAAACAGTGGCTAGTCTGCCTTCTAGCTGAACAGGACACCTCATCGAACATAAGCCCAAACCCCTCAACACAGAGGATTTGAGAAAAAAAAAGGGTTTTTTTTAATGAGCTCTGTTGCAGCAGAATCAAACATAGCAACCTAACAGCCCTGAAGGAACAACAGAGTGCACAGCTCAGCAAATAAACCCCTATAAAGTACAAACTGTCTCCTCAAGCAGCTCCCTGACCCCTCTATATCCAAAAGACTGACATTAGGCAGGCATCATCCTGGGACAAAGAGAGCAGGAAAAGAAACTGGTAGCATCCCTCACTGTGCCACAGCTACTAGAGGTGCACTCCAGACAAGCAGGGTCTGGAGCGGACCTCAGCAGTCATACAGAGAAGGGGCTAGACTGGTAGAAGGAAAACCAAGCAACAGAAATACTTCATCCTCAACATTCTGGGTGTCCACTCAGAGACCCAATCGAAAAGTCAGCAACTACGCAGACAACCAGCGGACAAACGAACACCTCGCCTCCTAGAAAGGTCCAAAACTCCTCACCAGCAAGGGAACAAAGCTGGACGGAGAATGACTGTGACGAAATGACGGAATTAGACTTCAAAAGATGGATAATGAGAAACTTTGGTGAGCTAAAAGATCATGTATTAAATCAATGCAAAGAAACTAAGAACCTTGAAAAAAGATTTGAAAAAAGATTCGAGGAAATGATAACAAGAATGGATACCTTAGAGAGGAATATGAATGAATTAAAGGAGCTGAAAAACACAATATGAGAAATTCGCGAAGCAAACACAAGTTTCAATAGCCGAATTGACCAAGCAGAAGAAAGAATATCTGAAGTCGAAGACCAACTCAATGAAATAGAATGAGAAACCAAGATCAGAGAAAAAAGCGCAAAGAGGAATGAACAAAGTCTCCAAGAAATGTGAAACTATGTGAAAAGACCTAACCTACGTTTGATAGGTGTACCAGAAGGGGACGAAGAGAATGAATCCAAGCTGGAAAATACTCTTCAGGACATCATCCAGGAAAATTTCCCCCACCTAGCGAGACAGGCCAACACTCAATTTCAGGAAATACAGAGAAAACCACAAAGATATTCCGCAAGAAGAGGAACCCCAAGGCACATAATCGTCAGATTCAATAGGGTTGAAATAAAAAGAGAATACTAAGGGCAGCCAGAGAGAAAGGTCGGGTCACCGACAAAGGGAAGCCCATCAGACTCACAGCAGATCTCTCGGCAGAAACACTACAAGCCAGAAGAGAGTGGGGGCCAATATTCAACATTCTTAAAGAAAAGAACTTTCAACCCAGAATTTCATATCCAGCCAAACTGAGCTTCAGAAGTGAAGGAAAAATAAAATCCTTTGCAAACAAGCAAGTACTCAGAGATTTTGTCACCACCAGGCCTGCTTTACAAGAGCTCCTAAAAGAGGCACTACACATAGAAAGGATCAACCAGTACCAGCCATTCAAAAATCACACTGAATGCTAAAGAGCTTCAACATAATGAAGAATCTACAACAACTAACAGGCAAAACAGCCACTTAGCATCAAAATGGCAGTATCAAATTCACACATAACAATCTTAAACCTAAAGGTAAATGGACTAAATGCACCAATCAAAAGACACAGACTGGCAAATTGGATAAAAATCCAAAACCCATCAGTGTGCTGTATCCAGGAAACCCATCTCACCTGCAAGGATACACAAAGGCTCAAAATAAAGGGATGGAGGAAGATTTACCAAGCTAATGGAAAGCAAAAAAAAGCAGGAGTTGCAATTCTCATCTCTGATAGAATAGACTTTAAAGCAACAAAGATCAAAAGAGACAAAGAAGGCCATTACATAATGGTAAAAGGATCGATACAACAAGAAGAGCTAACGATCCTAAACATATATGGACCCAATGCAGGAGCACCCAGATACATAAGGCAAGTTCTTAATGACTTACAAAAGGACTTAGACTCCCACACAATAATAGTGGGAGACTTTAACACTCCACTGTAAATACTAGACAGATCAACCAGACAGAAAATCAACAAGGATATCCAGGGCTTGAACTCAGACCTGGAGCAAGCAAACCTGATAGACATTTACAGAACTCTCCACCCCAAATCCACAGAATACACATTCTTCTCAGCACCACATCACACCTACTCAAAAATTGACCACATAATTGAAAGTAAAGCACTGCTCAACAAGTGCAAAACAACTGAAATCATAACAAACAGCCTCTCAGACCATAGTGCAATCAAGTTAGAACTCAGAATTCAGAAACCGACCCAGAACCGCACAGCTTCATGGAAACTGAACAACTGGCTCTTGAATGTTGACTGGGTAAACAACGAAATGAAGGCAGAAATAAAGAAGTTCTTCGAAACCAATGAGAACGAAGACACAACGTGCCAGAACCTCTGGGACACATTTAAAGCAGTCTCTAGAGGAAAGTATATAGCAATAAGTGCCCATATGAGGAGAATGGAGAGATCCAAAATTGACACCTATCGTCAAAATTGAAAGAGCTAGAGGAGCAAGATCAACAAAACTCAAAACCCAGCAGAAGACAAGAAATAACTAAGATCAGAGCTGAGCTGAAGGAGATTGAGACATGAAAAACCCTCCAGAAAATCAATAAATCCAAGAGCTGGTTCTTTGAAAAGATCAACAAAATAGACAGACCACTAGCCAGATTGATTAAAAAGAAAAGAGAGAACAACCAAATAGATACAATAAAAAATGATAAAGGAGAAACCACCACAGATTCCACAGAAATTCAAACCATCATCAGAGAATATTACAAACAACTCTATGCACATAAACTAGTAAACCTGGAAGAAATGGATAAATTCCTGGACTCCTGCGTCCTCCCAGCCTAAACCAGGAGGAAGCTGAAACTATGAATAGACCAATAACAAGGTCTGAAGTTGAGGCAGCAATTAAGAGCCTACCACACAAAAAAAGCCCAGGTCCAGACGGGTTCACAGCCGAATTCTACCAGACACCAAGGAGGAGCTGGTACCATTCCTTCTAAAACTATTTCAAACAATCCAAAAAGAGGGAATCCTTCCCAAATCATTTTATGAGACCAACATCATCCTGATACCAAAACCCGGCAGAGACCCAACGAGAAAACAAAACTTCAGGCCAATATCCATGATGAACATAGATGCAAAAATCTTCAATAGAATATTGGCAAGCTGATTGCAACAGCAAATCAAAAAACTTATTCATCATGATCAAGTAGGATTCATCCCAGTGATGCAAGGCTGGTTCAACATACGCAAGTCTATCAACGTAATTCACCACATAAACAGAACCAAAAACAAAAACCACATGATTATCTCAATCGACGCAGAGAAGGCTTTTGACAAAATTCAACAGCCCTTTATGCTAAAAACCCTCAATAAACTCGGCATCTATGGAACGTATCTCAAAGTAATAAAAGCTATTTATGACAAACCAACAGCCAATATCATACTGAATGAGCAAAAATTGGAGGCATTTGAAATCTGGCACTAGACAAGGATGCACTCTCTCACTACTCCTATTCAATATAGTACTTGAAGTTCTAGCCAGAGCAATCAGGAAAGAAAAAGAAATAAATGGTATTCAAATTGGAAATGTGGAAGCCAAATTGTCTCTATTTGCAGACGACATGATAGTATACTTAGAAGACCCCATCGCCTCAGCCCAAAAACTCCTGAAACTGATAAGCAACTTCAGCAAAGTCTCAGGATATAAAATCAATGTGCAAAAATCACAAGCATTCGTCTACACCAACAACAGACTTAAAGAAAGCCAAATCAAGAGCGAACTGCCATTCGCGATTGCTACAAAAAGAATAAAATACCTTGGAATACAACTCACAAAGAACGTAAGAGACCTCTTCAAGGAGAACTACAAATCACTGCTCAAAGAAATCAGAGAGGACACAAACAGATGGAGAAACATTCCATGTTCATGGTTAGGAAGAATTAATATCGTGAAAATGGCTATACTGCCCAAAGTAATTTACAGAATCAACGCTATCCCCATCAAGCTACCACTGACTTTCTTCACAGAACTGGAAAAAACCACCATGAACTTCATATGGAACCAAAAGAGAGCCCGCATAGCCAAGTCAATTCTAAGCAAAAAGAACACAGTGGGGGGCATCACACTACCGGATTTCAAACGATACTATAAGTCTACAGTAATCAAAACAGCATGGTACTGGTACCAAAACAGAGATATAGACCAATGGAACAAAACAGAGGCACCGGAGGCAACACAACATACATACAACTATACAATCTTTGATAAACCTGACAAAAACAAGCAATGGGGCAAGGATTCCATGTTTAACAAATGGTGTTGGGAAAACTGGCTAGCCATGTGCAGAAAGCAGAAACTGGACCCCTTCCTGACACCTTACACTAAAATTAACTCCAGATGGATTAAAGACTTAAACATAAGACCTGGCACCATAAAAACCCTAGAAGGAAATCTAGGCAAAACTGTCCAGGACATAGGAGTAGGCAAGGACTTTATGAACAAAACACCAAAAGCATTGGCAACAAAAGCCAAAATAGACAAATGGGACCTAAGGAAACTCCACAGCTTCTGCACGGCAAAAGAAACAGTCACTAGAGTGGATAGGCAACCAACAGAATGGGAAAAAATTTTCGCAGTCTACCCATCTGACAAAGGGCTGATATCCAGAATTTACAAAGAACTCAAACAGATTTACAGGAAAAAAACAAACAAGCCCATTCAAAAGTGGGCAAAGGATATGAACAGACACTTTACAAAAGAAGACATATATGAGGCCAACAATCATATGAAAAAATGCTCATCGTCACTGGTCATCAGAGAGATGCAAATCAAAACCACATTGAGATACCATCTCACGCCAGTTAGAATGGCGATCATTAAAAAATCTGGAGACAACAGATGCTGGAGAGGATGTGGAGAAAAAGGAACACTTCTACACTGTTGGTGGGAGTGTAAATTAGTTCAACCATTGTGGAACACAGTGTGGCGATTCCTCAAGGCCTTAGAAATAGAAATTCCATTTGACCCAGCAATCCCATTACTGGGTATATATCCAAAAGACTATAAATCGTTCTACTATAAGGACACATTTACATGAATGTTCATTGCAGCACTGTTTACAATAGCAAAGACCTTCAATCAACCCAAATGCCCATTGATAATAGACTGGATTGGAAAAATGTGGCACATATACACCATGGAATATTATGCAGCAATCAGAAATGATGAGTTTGTGTCGTTTGTAGGGACATGGATGAATCTGGAGAACATCATCCTCAGCAAACTGACACAAGAACAGAAAATGAAACACCGCATATTCTCACTCATAGGTGGGTGATGAAAAATGAGAACACACGGACACAGAAAGGGGAGTACTAAACACTGGGGTCTATTGGGGGGAAAAGGGGAGGGCCAGTGGGAGGGGGAGGTGGGGAGGGATAGCCTGGGGAGAAATGCCAAATGTGGATGTGGGTGAAGGGGAGAAGAAAAGCAAAGCACACTGCCATGTGTGTACCTACGCAACTGTCTTGCATGCTCTGCTCATGTACCCCAAAACCTAATATCCAATAAAAAATTTAAAAAAAAAAAAAGGTAAACTTCTAAACTTCCCCCACTTCCCCAAGGCCACAGGCCCTGCTCAACCCATCCTTCTTCCCTGCTCCCTTTTGTTCACTCCTCACTCTGCTCAAGCCACACGAACCTCCTTGCTGTTCCTCCAATATGCCACACGCTCCTGCCCCAGGGCCTTTGCATGGGCTGTGTCCTCTGTCCGGAAAGTGCTTACCCCCAAATACCTTCCTTCTCACACTAGTTACCCCTTTCCATTAAGATGTTGGCCCAGGCTGGGCATGGTGGCCCATGTTTATAATCCCAGCAATTTCACAGGCTAAGGTAGGAGGATCACATGAGCCCAGAAGTGTTTGCTTTTGTTTTGCTTTTCATTTTGTTAGAGACAAAATATAGGCAGGAGAGCAGTGGGTGATTTCACCCAACTGAAACCTTCACCTTCCAGGTTCAAGTGATTCGGCTGCCTCAGTCTTAGTAACTGGGACCACAGGTGCCTGTCACCATGCCCAGGTTTTTGTTTGTTTGTTTGTTTTTGTTATATTTCTTTGTTTTCAGACAGAGTTTTACTCTCATTGCCCAGGTTCAAGTTCAGTGGCAGGATCTTGGCTCACTGCAGCCTCTGCCTCCTAGGTTCAAGCGATCTTGCTGCCTAAGCCTTCCAAATTGCTGGGATTTCAGGCATGGGCCACCATACCCAGCTAATTTTGTGTATTTAGTAGAAACAGGATTTCTCCAGTTTGGTGCAATCTGGTCTCAAACTCCCAACCTCAGGTGATCCACTTGCCTCGGCCTCCCAAAGTGCTGGAATTACAGGTGTGAGCCACAAACCCCAACCAATATCTTTTTATTAAAATGTGAATTAGAGGATGAGGCAGGTTGATCCACTAGAGGTCTGTAGTTCCAGGCCAGCCTGGCCATTATGGTGAAATCCTGTCTCTACTATAATTACAAAAATTAGCCAGGCATTGTGGCTGGTGCCTGGAATACCAGCTACTCAGTAGGCTGAGCCACAAGAGTCACTTGAGTCTGGGAGGCAGAGGTTGCAGTGAGCTGAGATCATGCCACTGCACTCCCACCTGGGTTGCAGAGTGAGACCCCATCTCAAAAACCCAAAAACTCAAATTGGACTGTTTATTTCCTGCTTCTTGATTTCCAATAACACTTATATTAAAAGATATATTGCTTAACATCCCCCACCATCTCAAGGCTCCCAGGCCCTGCCCAACCTGTTCTCCTCACCTCCTCCCTCTCTCCCACTCCTTATTCTCCTCAAGCCACAGGGACCTCCTTGCTTTCCTGCAATCCACCAGAAGCAGTCCTGCTCCAGGGACTTTAATGGGCTGTGGCCTCTGTCTGAAAAGTGCTTACTTCCCAATACCTTCCTTCTCACACTGGTTACCTCTCCCCCCTTCTTTTGAGATAGAGTTTCGCTCTTGTTGCCCAGGCTGGAGTGCAATGGCATGATCTCGGCTCACCACAACCTCCACCTCTTGGGTTCAGGCAATTCTTCTACCTCAGCCTCCTGAGTAGCTGGGATTACAGGCACGCACCACCATGCCCAGCTAATATTTTGTATTTTAAGTAGAGACGGGGTGGCACCATGTTGACAAGGATTGACTTGATCTATTGACCTTGTGGTCCACCCACCTCGGCCTCCTAAAGTGCTGGGATTACAGGCATGAGCCACCGTGCCCGGTTACACTGGTATTTTTCCTAATCGTTGCTTAACACTTTCTCCCATGCAGCACATTTTCCTACTTCACTGTTCATTCTTTCTTCAATTACATTTTTATTCATTTCTTTTTCCTTTTTTTACATTATTACTTTGTTACATTATTACATTTTTAATATGGTTTACTGTCATTAGTCTTTTATTTTACTATAATTTGTTTATCTTCTTACATAGGTGTGATCTCATTAGACTAACTTTTAAAAGTAGAACTGTATATTACTGACTTTTTGCATCTTTTGTGTCTAACGTGATTTATAGAACTGTCCTTTTTTTTCATTAAAAGATACTTAATCATGTTCTGGCCTCGCGTGGTGGCTCATGCCTGTAATTCTAGCATTTTGAGAGGCCAAAGCAGGTAGAGTACTTGAGGTGAGGAGATCAAGCCCAGCCTGGCCAAAATGGTGAAACCCTGTCTCCCCCAAAAATATAAAACTTAGTTGGGCGTGGTTGTGTGTGCCTGTAATTCCAGTTACCTGAGAGGCTGAGGCAGGAGAATCGCTGGAACCCAGGAGCTGGAGGTTGCAGTGAGCCGAGATTGTACCACTGCACTTTAAGTTTGGGTGATACAGCAAGACTCTGTCTCAATAAATAAATAAATAAATAAATAAATAAATAAATAAATAATTAAATAAATAAGACAGTCACCTTTCTACTCTGTTTCTATAGATCAGCTTTTTAGATTCCACTTATGAGTTAGATCTTACAGTATTTGTCTTTCTGTGCCTGGCTTATTTCAATTGGCATAACATTCTTCAAGAATCTAAAAAAGTCAATCTCATAGAAACAGAGAGTAAAAAGGAGGTTACCAGAGGTGGGGTGGGGAGGGTGTCTCAAGTGGACAGTGATAGGAAAAAGCTAGATCTTGATCAAAGGGTACAATTTTAGTCAAATTAAAGGAATAAGTCTTAGGAATCTATCACCTTGGATGGTGAGTACAGTTAATAATAATGTATTATATATTTCAAAATGACTAGTAGATTTTTAATGTTCTCACCACAGAAAAGTGGTAAGTTAGTAAGGTGATGGATATTTGATTGAGTTTTTCTATGATGTATATACATAGATCAAAATGTTACACTAGACCCTATAAATATGTTTAATTATTATTTGCCAATTAAAAATGAAGAAAATGCTAGGATAAAAACTCATTAGTTTTATATAGGTAATGGTAATTTTTAAAAATCATAAAGGCATAGCTCCCAACCTTGGCTATACCTTTGGGATCAGCTGGAAAATTTAAAACCCATAGCAATGCCTTGGTCCCATTCTCAGAGTAATTACATCAGAATCTTTGAGTATGGGGCATCAGTGGCTCTTTAAAACTCCCCAAATGATTCCAATATACAGCCAGAGTTGCAATCTACTGATACATGCAGTCTAGGCAAACTACAGGCTGTAGATGACTACATCTTTTTGTAAATAAATGTTTATTGGAATATTGCCATAGCCATTCCTTTACATACATATGGCTGCCTTCAGTCTACAAAGACAGAGCTGAGAAGTTGAAACAGAGACCATATAGCCTGGAAAGTCAAAATATTTACTACTTAGTGCTTTACATAGTCTATTGTTTTCTGAAAAATAAGGCAAAGTCCTGTTACATATCAAAAATATGAGGAAGAAAATAGAGACTGCTGATAACATTAATAAGAAGTAAAACTGTTTTTAAATAGCAAAATGTACATTGTAAATATATTCTCACCAAGGCTATCATTTAAAAAATAATTTCTGTATCTTCAGTTACTTACTTGAAAGAATAAATTGTTTCTCATACCTTAGAGAGTTTTCATGATGAAAATCTGGTCCTACAATTCTATATAGCAGAGGTGGCATGTTGTAAATTAGCATCCTCTCACCATCTTTTATTGTGTTTTCTTAATAAATCACAATATCTCTATCAGTTCAGTTCCTCACATTTCTATAGCAAAAACTAATGAGATAATAGACTATGTGTACCAGACTATCTAGGTAATAACTTCTTCATTTAGGGAGATCTGACCAATGTCTACAAAATGCTTAAGATTTTAATAAATAATCATATAAGATTTTTGCAAATTAACACATACTTAAGAAAACAATCAACAATTGATACCTTTATCTGAATATTCTCTAAGTAATTAAGCTGAGTGCATTAGCTGAGAAATTTAGAATACACAGAAATTCAGGTTCAGGAATAAAGCTATTATAAACCAAAAACAGTATTTAAACTGAAGCAATGTAATCTATAATTCTTAAAAATGAAAATGAATAAAATCATGTTCATATCTAAAAACAATTATTTAATACTTTAATTTTAATGGTTCAAAATATTTAAGATGTCAAGATATCAGTACTAATTAAGAAAAGCCCTTTTAAGATTGCAGAAATTGGCAAAATTTGAATACTGATTATAGGTTAGATATTAGTATTGTATCAATTTTAAATTTCCTGATTTTGGTAATTGTACTCAGATTATGTAATAGAATACTCTTCTTATTAGAAAATATACACTGAAATACTAGTGAAGTGTTTAGGCTTAAAGGGGTATGTATGATGGCTGCTACTTTCTCTTACTGGATCACAGGGAATATATATACATACGTGTGTATGTATGGTGTGTGTATGGGTGTGTGTGTGTGTGTGCGTGTGTGTGTATAGATATGTATATATGTGAAGAGAGAGATACAATGATGCAAAAGTAAATGTTAGTAATTGTTGAATATGGATAACGGGTATATGAGAGATCTCTCTACCATTCTTTTAACGTTTATGTAAGTTTGAAATTATTTCAATACAAAAGTTAACGGAAGTCCTTTTGAGATAGAAACTAGTAGTAAATGCAAAATATATTCATTGTTAAGTTAGTATTAGGTGACCAAAAGTAAAAGAAAACAAAATAAGTACAACCCAAGTGGAGCTCATTCTTCAATCAACAATAAATATCTCAGATAATTTTTTTAATAATGAAATAATAAACAGGTATATTTATTAGGTTATGTGATTGCTTGAAAATTCTATGAACAAATAATTTAAAGCTTCGTTAGGTTCTAACAGTTTCAGTAATTTTTATGGTCTTATTTCTAATATGGTATATTGCAAATTTATATAAATAAAATAGCCATAAGACAACAAATTTATTGAATACTTAACTCATTGTAGAAATTAGTTTGATCTGTGGATCCATGGGGACAGACAGGCTGTATTCTAAATGGATAATTCTTTTTAACAGAATAATCCTGAAGCAGAAAAACTAAACCAACTCGCAAAATTTTAAACCACTCAGGACATGGGGCATTCCACATAATCACCGACACCATGCCTGAACTGTCAGCAACCTCCAAACAGGTCTAGAAAAAAAGAGTAAAAGCATATACATATCTGTCACTTTTATGTATACAGATGGTATATAACATATTATCTGTGATCATTTAGAGTGATGGAAAATAACATTTAATTTTTAATTATTAATAATGATTCAGTTGTCAAATCTGCTAATATTGGTAATCTAAAGAAGAGACAGCCACCAGATCCATGGGAGTACTAAATGTGCTACTAAATTACTGTGTGAAGGAAGCTCTGAGGACACAGGCCAAATCTTATTTATATTTGATTCTTCCATAATATTTAGCATGGTGCCTTAAAGAGTGATCCCACAACACATTTGTCAAATCAATGAGACAAATTTCATGTTACAAGTTTTACCTTAAAATTTTGACATCATTCTTGGTTATCTGAACTGTTAAATGGCTTTGATATTCATATTTGAGAACTTTAGATAAACATATAATTGAGTGGGCACAATGCCATCAATACCCTGGTTACATTAATTTATTTATAGCAATACACAAGGCTGGTACATAAGACATGGAAATAATTTCTGAGACACTATTTGAGAAATAATGCTATCAGAAAGGGGAATGTTAGAACAAATGTGCATTATTGCTGACTCTGAGTATAGTTAAAATACAGAAATCTGTTGAGGTAGAAAGTATCTGATGGAGTTTTTCCCAGTATTAAAATACAGTGACAACTTCAGCTCTGCCTAAAAGGCAATCATTAATGTGGTTTCTAATTCTTAATTTCTTCTTAAATAATGATGTTATTTTCTCAGACCCTTTCTCTTAATGATGAATATACATTTTGGGCAATTCATTCCTTTATTCATTAAACATTTACTGGTTCTCTACTCCAGACATTATGTTAGGCACTGGAATGAAGAGATGAATCAAACGTCATTCCTAATAATAATGACTAAAATATATATAGGACTTATGTGCCTGGAACATAGGTAAATTCTTTACTTATATTAACTACTTCAATCCTCACATCAACCCTGTAAGGTAAGTACAATTAGTATCCATATTTTATAGATGAGTAAACTGAGGCTTTAAAAGGATAAATTTCCCTATATCATAAAGCTAAGAAATGGTAAACAGAGCCAAAACCTGAATTCAGTTCATATGACTAGAGGAAGTGCACTCTTAAGCACTATAAAATACTTCTTCCCTACAGTCAGAGAGCTCACAGTAGAGTAAGGTTAGCAAATCTATTAACAGATATGTATAACTGGGTTATACATGCTTTATAATGGGGTCCTGAGTAGCATGTAGTTGATTCTCCTTAGTGACTAGGCATATGGGTATACATGGAAAGATTTAAATCAGAGGTAGGCACTGAACTGAATCTTAAAGATGGCTTGGCTTTGCCAATCTGATGATAATTGAAAGGAAGAGCATTCTAGGCAGAAGAAGTAACATAAGTAGAGGTATGAAAAGTAGAAAACAATTGATTACCATTAGAAAATTCCAGGTAGGGCACTTTGGTTATTATGGGGCATAGAAAGCTCAGGAAGAGATGAAACTGGAGAGGCAAGCAGGGACAAAATGATGAAGACACAAAGAGACAGGAAGGCAACAAGTAAGTGGAGTTTAAAAATTAGGGAAGAAAGTATTGCAACAGTGAGAAGGCAAACAAATATCAAGGAATGACTGAATAATTTATGATATCATGTGCTAAAACTTTATAACTGTAAAGTTATGAATGATGAATTTTTAGTGATAAGAGCAAATATTTAAGAAAATGTAAAATAATACAAAACTGTATTCAGAATATAGTTCCCATTTTTTAAGAGAACATCATTCTCAGCAAACTGACACAATAACAGAAAATGAAATACTGCATGTTCTCACTCATGGGTGGGTGTTGATGAACAATGAGAACACATGGACACAGGGAGGGGAGCACTACACACTGGGGCCTGTTGGCTGGAATAGGGGAGAAACAGTGGGGGATAGGGAGTTGGGGAGAGATAGCATGGGGAGAAATGCCAGATATAGGTAAAGGGGAGGAAGGCAGAAAATCACACTGCCACGTGTGTACCTATGCAACTATCTTGCATGTTCTTCACATGTATCCCAAAACCTAAAATGTAATTTAAAAAAATAAATAATAAAATAAAAAAAGAAAAATTACTGTAATATATAACATATATAGTTACATAAAATATATGATACCTGTACCTATGTACATATATGTTATATTTATGATATAAATATAATAGATATGTATATGTAAATCTAGTTTATGCTTATATATGTGTATATAAGTGATGTACACACACACAAGAAAGGGAATAAAACACACCATGTTAACAGTGGCTCTCTCTGAGTAGTAAGATCTTCAAATAGCTTTCTACATTTTCCAAATTCCCTGTATACTTTTGTAATGAAAGTTTAATGAAATATGTAAAATAGTTCTTGATATCATGGGAAAATACAGTATAATATTAAGAAAGAAAAAACAGAACACAAACATATCAAGGAAGTAGAGCTCACGAGCATTATGCAGTGTGGAGTCAAAACAATAGAAAAGTATCACACAGATTTCACAGTTAGAGTTACTAGTGAATGATAAGCTAAGGAAAAAAGCCAAAGTAATTGTGTTGAGAAATGGGAGGTAAGAAAGTAAAAACACCTAGTGTAGACTACTTCTTCAAGAAGCTTATCTGAAGAGAAAGAGATTGGGAATAAAAGAGTCATAAGACCAAGGCAGATTATTTTACTTTCTCTTTTAAATGGGAGGCTAGAGTATGTTTATACGGTGGTGCATAAAGCATAGCTGAGAAGAAAAAGTTTTAGGAAAATAAAAAGGTGGGAAGAAGACCACCTAGATCAGGAAAATAAAGGGCACCAATACAGAAATAAATTTTGTATGTACAATAAATTATGCAGAAAAATACAACATATATTTATGTACATTTTAAAATTACATTGAAGTGACTTACGCTATTTAAACGAACAGGTTATCATACTATTAAGTGTGTAAGTTATAATTTATAACCTTAAATTCACATAGGATATCTTATCATTACTTGTACTTGATATGGTTCAGTCATCTTTTTATCAGGTTTCCCATAGTCTCACCATTTTGATTTATGTATGATCCTCATAAGCAATGCAGGAAAATTTCTTCTGTTAGCTCAGGTCATTTCAAGGTGAGAAAGGGAAATTATTTTGGTATCTAGAATGTAAAAAAGAGAAAAGAAATTCTGTTTTACTTGTAATGATAACTTCAAAGATCTATTTTAATAGTTAAAAATAGTAGCCAAATTATACCTAAAGCGAATCCTTCTTGCCAGCTAAACCCTGCCAGCTAAGTCTATATACATTTCTCACATAAACTACATTTGATCCCTAATATTAACAGCTGAACAGCTGAAATATGTATAAGGCTTACCATGTGCCTGGAACATAGGTAAACCTATATTAACTAACACATTGTTCCATCTAGAATGCCTTCCATCTTACCAAATTATTTAATAATTTCCTGGAAAACCTGGATCTAAACTCACCTCCCATAAGATATTTTGTGAAAAAACAGACCTCAATGTCATGAATGTTATTCCCATTACTAAGCACTTATATATTTAATTTATAGAATTAAGCCAAGCACGATGGCTTACGCCTATAATTTCAGCACTTTGGGAGGCTGAGACCGGTGGCTTGCTTGAGCTCAGAAGTTCAAGATCAGTCTGGGCAACATGATGAAACCCCCTGTTTCTCCAAAAAGAGAAAAGTAGCTGGGTGTGGTGCATGTGCCTATAGCTCCAGCTACTCTAGAGGCTGAAGTGGGGTGATCACCTGAGTCCAGGCATCTGAGCTCACTGCAGCAAGGCTGAAGTGAACTGTGCTCATTTCACTTCAGCCAGGCTGCAGCAACGAGCCATGATCACACCACTGCATTTCAACCTGAGCGATTGAGAGCCTGTCTCAAAATCTATATCTGTATATATTTGTTTTATTACACTTTTTTGTATTGCCTCCACCTCAGTTTCATATGTATAAATTCCATCTCCCCAAAATATACCAGACATGAGCCTGTATCAGGACCTTTACACTTGTTGTCTTCCCCTTAGATATGCAAGTGACTTTCTCACTCCCCTCCAAGTTTTGCTCAAAGGTCACCTTCTCAGTGATATTATCCCTAACTATCCTATTAAAAACTGACCCCTTTACTTATCCTCCATTCCACTTTATTTTTCTAGATAGCACTTACTATTTTCTCATATGCCATATGATCTACTGAGAAACATTTTAATCTGCAAGCTCACTGACAAGTTGAAAAACTTCTTTAAACGTATTTATCAATTTAAATAATTAATTTGTAATCCCGATGTAGTCTTCCTTGGATTAAGAGACGATCCATCTGCAACTGTCTCCACACATTTTTCTTTCTCACAGCCCACAGTCTCAACTATTAAGACTTGAATTTGCATTATTACCAATATTTATTTTGCTAAGGCTCCCTTCATTTCTATCTTTCTTAACATAATGTTTTACCTAGTCAACGCTTTTGACAAGAAAATCACACTTGTAATTTCTTTTTAATAAGGATTTAAGTGGTATTATATAATTATGCCCATAACACAAAAAACACACACAATTTTTCTCTGTAACTTTTCTTTCAGATTCTCCCAATAAATTACTAGCCCAGAATCACAGATCCTAACATTCGATCTGATATAGTTTAGTGATTTTATTTTAATGTCAGATGAATCTCAGATGAGCTTTGAATTGTCTTGATCAATGGAGTACTCTTGATAAACGAAGGCACGTACAGCTCCTTTATTGTCTGAAGTAAATTCAAGAGCTACATAGTTTGTAAAACTAGAGTTCTAAGAGCCTCTGTTTCTGTTATAATAAGGTGCAGAGAGTTAGGTGTAAAATCAGATGTCTTTCTGGTTAACATTTTTCCCAGTTTAGGTTTTTAACTTACAAACTTCAGAGAATACATATTTTATCTCTCAAATCCAAAAAAGAATTAGAGGCTGTCTATAGACAAAAAAGAATTTGTGTAAATTTATAAAAATAAGCATGTTCATTATCAAAAAAGAAATAATGAAAATAAATAAACTGGATATTCAATATGCAATAGAACAGTGATTCTCAAAACGTTTCGGTCTCAGAATCCCTATACATTCTTTAAAATTATTAAAGATCTTCAATAGCTTTTTTCTTTTGTTGAGTTGGAGTATCAATCTGTTTCTCAGGTGGAAGTGCAGTGGTGTGATCTTGACTCACTGCAACCTCCACTTCCTGGATTCAAGCAATTCAGTCTCCCAAGTAGCTGAGACTACAGACGTGCACCACTATGCTAGGCTAATTTTTGTATTTTTTAGTAGAGATGGGGTTTTACCATGGTGGCCAGGTTGGTCTCCAACTCCTGACCTCTCAAGTGATCTGCCTGCCTCAGTCTTTCAAAGTGTTGAGATTACAGGTGTGAGCCCTGCTCCCAGCCTGAAGAGCATTTTACTGCACTATAAAGCAAACTAAGAACTTTTTAAAATTATCAGTTCATTAAAAATAGCAATAATAAACTAATACGTATAATTACAAGTAACATTTTTTTTGGTAAAAATGTAAAAATGACAGTATTTTCCAAATTAAAAATAATGTAGTGAGAAGTGTGGTATTGTTTTACATTTTTGCAAACTTTGTTAGTACCTACCTTAATAGATGAAATTGGATTCTATCCAATTTTGCAGGTGGATACTCATATCTTCTTTGATATTTAGTTGGCTTCGGTGTCACATGTCATTTAGCCTCTGGAAAACTACACAGTACACTTGTGAGAGAATAAGGGTGAAAAAAGGTGAGTAAAGCCTTAGTATTGTGAAAATAGCTTTGACCTCATGGATCTTTTGAAAATGTCTTGGGGCACCACTAGAGGTCCCTGGACCATACTTAAAAATTATAGCAGAAGAGTAATTTTAAAAATGAAGAAGGAATGAATATTAAAGCTAAAAATAATGAATCAGAAAACACTCTACCACAATAAAAAAAAAAACCCAACAGCACTGATAAATTCAATTCTCTGGAAAAATTAATGAAAAGTTAAATCTTTCACAAGTCTAATCATAAAAATGAAACAAAATGTAATACTCAGAATGTAAACAACTATACACACAAAGAAAAATTATTTAAAATTATTATATATGATTTTATATCAGTAAATTTTAAATATCAGTGACATAGTGAATCTCTTAGAAAATATGAATTACCAGTATTGCCATAAGAAGCAAAAGAAAACTAAACTATGTTTTCACTCATGGAAGAAAATGAAAAAAGTTCACTAGGAGAGGCCTCAAGATGGCGCTGTGAGAACAACCCAGGACTGGAGCTCTTGTTGAATCCACAAACAGGTGAGTCGGAGTTGCATTTCCAGACTGTTGCCCACAGAACGGAGAAACTCCCAAGTATAAAAAAGACATGGGACGCCAGGCAGTAAGTCTGCCTGGAGAAGCCGGCAGCCAGGGTGGTGGTGGCCGGCCCTACCCAGCAATCCCCACAGGGCGCGCTTGTCCGGGTGCCCTGTTGAACCGGAAACCTGAGACTTGAGAGGGCTGGACTTGAGACTGAATGAGACTTGGACAGTAGGCCAGCCCAGGGGATTGCAGGGACAGAGCGTTTGGGGTACCCAGTAGGATGAACAAAACCGCGATTTCAAACTATCCCGAGCAGACGGTCCGAGACTCTCTGTGAGGGAGGGGCGTCCACCACTACCGAGGCAACCCGCCCCAACTGAGATACACGCCCACTGCTGACGCAGCCAGCCGTTGCCGAGGCAACCCGTCCCTACTGAGATACACGCCCACTGCAGACGCAGCCTCCCATTACCGAGGCAACCCGTCCCCACTGAGATACACACCGACTGCTGACGCAGCCTGCGCTGCCGAGGCAACACTCTACAACAAAGAGACTCCACCGCAGGGCGTGGCGGAGACCACAGCAGAGCCTGCAGGAACAGGGCGAATCACACAACAGCAGGGCGGAGACTAGGCAGGCAAACAGTGGCTAGTCTGCCTCCTAGCTGGGCAGGACACCTCAACGGACGTCGAAAAATAAAGCCAAACCCCCCAACACAGAGCATTTGAGAAAAAAAGGGTTTTTTAAATGAGCTTTGTTGCAGCAGAATCAAACATAGCAGCCTAACAGCCCTGAATGAACAACAGAGCTCACAGCTCAGAAATAGAGCTCCTAAAAAGAACAGACTGTCTCCTCAAGCAGCTCCCTGACCCCTCTATATCCAAAAGACTGACATTAGGCAGGCATCATCCTGGGACAAAGATAGCAGAAAAAGAAACGGGTAGCATCCCTCACTGTGCCACAGCTGCTAGAGGTGTACCCCAGACAAGCAGGGCCTGGAGTGGACCTCAGCAGTCGTACAGCGAAGGGGCTAGGCTGGTAGAAGGAAAACCAAGTGACAGAAATACTTCATCATCAACAATCTGGGTGTCCACTCAGAGACCCAATCGAAAAGTCAGCAACTACGCAGACAACAAGCGGATAAACCCACAAAGATGGGAAGAAACCAGCGAGAAAAGGAGGAAAACACCCAAAACCAGAACACCTTGCCTCCTAGAAAGGACCGAAACTCCTCACCAGTAAGGGAACAAAGCTGGATGGAGAATGACTGTGACGAAATGACGGAATTAGACTTCAGAAGGTGGATAATGAGAAATTTTGTGAGCAAAAAGAACACATATTAAATCAATGCAAAGAAACTAAGGAACTTAAAAAAAGACATGCGAAAATGATAACAAGAATGGATACCTTAGAGAGGAATATGAATGAATTAAAGGAGCTGAAAAACACAATACGAGAACTTCGCGAAGCATGCACAAGTTTCAATAGCCGAACTGACTAAGCAGAAGAAACAATATCTGAAGTCGAAGACAACTCAATGAAATTAAACGAGAAACCAAGATCAGAGAAAACAACGCAAAAAGGAATGAACAAAGTCTCCAAGAAATGTGGGACTATGAGAACAGACCTAACCTACGTTTGATAGGTGTACCAGAAGGGGACGAAGAGAATGAATCCAAGCTGGAAAATACTCTTCAGGACATCATCCAGGAAAACTTCCCCCTCCTAGCAAGACAGGCCAACACTCAAATGAAGGAAATACAGAGAACACCACAAAGATATTCTGCAAGAAGAGCAACGCCAAGGCACATAATCTTCAGATTCAACAAGGTTGAAATAAAGGAGAAAACACTAAGGGCAGCCAGAGAGAAAGGTCGAGTTACCCACAAAGGGAAGCCATCAGACTCACAGCAGATCTCTCGGCAGAAACACTACAAGCCAGAAGAGAGTGGGGGCCAATATTCAACATTCTTAAAGAAAAGAACTTTCAACCCAGAATTTCATATCCAGCCAAACTGTTCAGAAGTGAAGGAAAAATAAAATCCTTTGCGAACAAGCAAGTACTCAGAGATTTTGTCACCACCAGGCCTGCTTTACAAGAGCTCCTAAAAGAGGCACTACACATAGAAAGGAACAACCAGTACCAGCCATTCAAAAATCACACTGAATGCTAAAGAGCATCAACATAATGAAGAATCTACAACAACTAACAGGCAAAACAGCCACTTAGCATCAAAATGGCAGTATCAAATTCACACATAACAATATTAACCTTACATGTAAATGGACTAAATGCACCAATCAAAAGACACAGACTGGCAAATTGGATAAAAATCCAAAACCCATCAGTGTGCTGTATCCAGGAAACCCATCTCACCTGCAAGGATACACAAAGGCTCAAAATAAAGGGATGGAGGAAGATTTACCAAGCAAATGGAGAGCAAAAAAAAAAGCAGGAGTTGCAATTCTCATCTCTGATAAAATAGACTTTAAAGCAACAAAGATCAAAAGAGACAAAAAGAAGGCCATTACATAATGGTAAAAGTATTGATAAAACAAGAAGAGCTAACGATCCTAAACATATATAGACCCAATGCAGGAGCACCAAGATACATAAGGCAAGTTCTTAATGACTTACAAAGAGACTTAGACTCCCACACAATAATAGTGGGAGACTTTAACACTCCACTGTCAATATTAGACAGATCAACCAGACTGAAAATCAACAAGGCTATCCAGGGCTTGAACTCAGACCTGGAGCAAGCAAACCTGATAGACATTTACAGAACTCTCCACCCCAAATCCACAGAATACACATTCTTCTCAGCACCACATCACACCTACTCTAAAACTGACCACATAATTGGAAGTAAAGCACTGCTCAACAAATGCAAAACAACTGAAATCATAACAAAAAGCCTCTCAGACCATAGTGCAATCAAGTTAGAACTCAGAATACAGAAACCGACTCAGAACCGCACAGCTTCATGGAAACTGAACAACTGGCTCTTGAATGTTTACTGGGTAAACAATAAAATGAAGTCAGAAATAAAGAAGTTCTTGAAACCATGAGAACGAAGACACAACATGCCAGAACCTCTGGGACACATTTAAAGCAGTCTCTAGAGGAAAGTATATAGCAATAAGAGCCCATATGAGGAGAATGGAGAGATCCAAAATTAACACCCTATCCTCAAAATTGAAAGAGCTAGAGGAGCAAGATAAAAAAAACTCAAAACCCAGCAGAAGACAAGAAATAACTAAGATCAGAGCTGAACTGAAGGAGATTGAGACACGAAAAATTCTTCAAAAAATCAATAAATCCAAGAGCTGGTTTTTTGAAAAGATCAACAAAATAGACAGACCACTAGCCAGATTGATTAAAAATAAAAGAGAGAACAACCAAATAGATGCAATAAAAAATGATAAAGGGGAAATCACCACAGATTCCACAGAAATTCAAACCATCATCAGAGAATATTACAAACCACTCTATGCACATAAACTAGTAAACCTGGAATAAATAAATGGATAAATTCCTGGACTCCTGCATCCTCCCAAGCCTAAACCAGGAGGAAGCTGAAACTATGAATAGACCAATACCAAGGGCAGAAGTCGAGGCAGCAATTAAGAGCCTACCACACAAAAAAAGCCCAGGTCCAGACGGGTTCACAGCCAAATTCTACCAGACACACAAAGAGGAGCTGGTACCATTCCTTTTAAAACTATTTCAAACAATCCAAAAAGAGGGAATACTTCCTAAATCGTTTTATGAGACCAACATCATCCTGATACCAAAACCCGGCAGACCCCAACAAGAAAAGAAAACTTCAGGCCAATATCCATGATGAACATAGATGCAAAAAATCTTCAATAAAATATTGGCAAGCTGAATGCAACAGCAAATCAAAAAACTTATTCACCATGATCAAGTAGGATTCATCCCGGGGATGCAAGGCTGGTTCAACATACGCAAGTCTATCAACGTAATTCACCACATAAACAGAACCAAAAACAAAAACACATGATTATCTCAATTGACGCAGAGAAGGCATATTTTACTTGTACTTTCTTTAATTATTTTCTTATTTCCAACTCTTTTTTCTCCTTACTTTGTGTTGAACCAATAAGCAATTTGTTTTTCTTATCAAAACAAAGGTGAGCTCTAACCTGCTGCAGTTCACAGCCATCACAGCTATCACTGCCAAGGCGAATGTGAAAGGGTAACACAGGCTCTCCAAGTTTTACTTCCTGTCCATGCTCAAGGACACAAAGGTCGCACTTAATTTTGAGCTAAACAATTTCCATTAACAATTGTTCAATTTTGACTGCCGTGATCTACAAGGACATAACATGTAAGTCATGGTTAAAGTAAATTTCTGAATAAAACTTACTGACACCAACTTCAGGGATTCAAAGAGTATGCTTCAGATTATTTTCTCATCTAATTATACCACAGATTTTACAACGGTAATGATAAAAAGTGATCCTGTCTGCAAACAGGTGATCTAGTGCAATTACTCTAATAAATACACAGAGGCCAATTTTTTTTCATTTACCTCCTCAGTATCTTCTGCAGTGACATAGCCTTTACTGATAATGTGAAGAGGGACGATGCTATGGCCATAAAGGATGCCTGTGGAGCCAGAACGATGGGAGTGCATGCGGTGAAAGGCAGTCTTGCCCAGGCTGGCTACTGTGGTCCTCTTCAGGATGCCCTGGCACATATTTTCTGGAGCCAAACGGGGCTGTGGACAATGATCAAGGGGACACCTTATGTCCTATCTGTGTGACCTGAAAACTGAAAAAAATCCTTGGAAAGATTACATCTTCCCCAGCTATAGGAACAGTGGGAGGAGCGTCAGAGTAGTCAAGGGGCCTGAAGCACTCTGCTGTTCTTAGGTTAAGCCAGAAACAGTGGCCAAGAGGGTTGTAAAGAAAGCTTACCTGTGGCTGGATATTACGTACTGATTACTCTTATTTTTATTCCATATTTATTGAGCTATGATTTGTATATTGAAAAGTGTATATATTTTAGGGTGTACAATAGAGTGCTTAGATGTGTATACATCTTTAAATTATCTCAATAAAGCTAGTAAACATATCTATGCCTTCACACAGTTGCTTTATACTTTTCTATGTGTGTGGTGAGAGAACATAAGATCAATTTTGTAACAAGTCTGAAGTACAATTATTATTAACTATAGTCACTATTCTGCACATTACACCTCCAGCAGTTTTTTAATTATATAACTGAAGATGTGCACCCTTTGATGAATATCTCCCCAGGTTTCCCCACGCCCTAGCCCATGGAAACTACCTTTGTAGTCTATCTCTTTTCTTTCTTTTTTTTTTAGGATTCCACACACAAATGAGATTGTGCAGTAGTTTTCTTTCTTCATTTCACTTATTTCACTTAGCATAATCTCTTCAAGGTTTATAAATATTGTTGTAAATAAGACTTTCAATATTAAAGGTGAAATTATCTTTCTCACATGGTTTATTAATTTATTTGTATTAGAGGAGTGCAGATGCCCTTACCGGTACTAATTTTCATGTCCTTTGGCTATATATTCTGAATTGAGATTAGTGGTGCTTACAGTTTAAAAATGTTAATGAAACTCTATACTGTTTTTTTAATTATGGCTGCACCAGTGGACATGCTCAGCAACAGTGTAAAAATATTCTCTTTCCTCTGCACCCTAACACTTTTTATCTTTGTATGTTTTGATAATAATTCTCCTTAACCCACAATAAGGTGACATCTCAAGCTGACTTTGATTTCAATTACTCTGATGGTTCGTGATGTTGGGCATCTTTTTATATATCTATGGGCCATTTGTATGTCTTTGGAAAAATGACTATTTAGATGTTCTGCCCAATTAATAAGGAAATAGGTTTTTGTTTTGTTCTACTGTGTGTTTTGTATTGATTCATATTACATATATTTTGGATAGTAACATATTATTCTATGTATGGTTTACAAATATGTTATTCCATCCAATATATTGCCTTTATATTTTGCTGATTTTTTTCTTAGTGTGCAGAAACTTTTTACTTTGATATAGTTTCACTTTTTTATTTTGCTTTTGTTGCTTGTGTTCTATGTGTAGAATCCAAAAAATCATTGCCATGTCCAGTGTCGAACAGCTTTTTCCCTATTTAATTTTTAGGGGATTCATGATTTCAATTCTTATGTTTAAGTCTTCATTTTAAAGTCATTTTTGTGATGATATGAGAAAGGTTTGCTTTTTGTATGTGCATATCTAGTTTTTTTCTACACTATTTCTTGATGTGTCTATCTTTTCTAATTTGTGAAATCAGGTGACTGTGTATGTGTGAGTTTATTTCTGGGTTCTCTGTTCTGTTCCGTTTGTTTTTATATAGGTTCTATACTATTTTGATGACTATTACTTTGTAATACAGTTTGAAAGCAGAAAGTTTGAGGCTTTCAGTCTTTTTGTTCTTCTTATTATTTGGCTATTTGGGGTCTTTTTATGACTCCATACTAATTTTACAATTGTTCTACATTATCTTAATTAACATATTCAAATTTTGATTAAAAATATTTAATCTGTAGATTACTTTGTGTAGTAGATATTTTAACAATATTAATTTTTAGAATCAATGAACACAGGATATATTTCCAATTTTCTAATATTTATTTTTTTTCATCAACATTTGGTAGTTTTCAGCATGCAAATCTTTAATATTCTTGGTTAAGCTTATTCTATTTAATAAATTAAGTATTTTATTCTACTTGATAACATTGTAAATGAAATTGTTTTCTTAATCCCTTTTCAGATTTTGTGTTGTTATTGTATTAAAATCCCACTGATTTTCCTGTTAAGGTATCTTGCAACTTTACTGAATTAGCTTGTTAGCTATAACAGAGTTTAGTTGTTGGTGGTGATGGTAAAATGGTGGGTATTCTTAACCCTAGTTATACTTTAAGTTGATGATGGCTATTATTATTTTATAATTTTAAAAAATGTAACCAGATAAATTTCTGCTGTCAGAAATTCAGTGCAATTTAAATTTTTTTTTCCTTTTTTTGAGATTGAGTCTAGCACTGTCACCCGGGCTGGAGTGTAATGGTGCAATTTTGGCTCATTGCAACCTCCACCTCCCAGATTCAAGCGATTCTGTCTCAGCCTCCTGAGTAGTTGGAATAACAGTCAATCGCCATCATGCCTGGTTAATTTTTTTGTATTTTCAGTAGAGATGGTGTTTCTCAAAACTGTGAGCTGGACCCAATTACATGTGACAATCTCTCCTGTGGGCAGGAACCAGTAGGGAGAGTCACATAAACTAGGTACTGGGCCAGTGATATGTCAGTATTTTTTCTGTGGGCAGGACCCTGGCAATAAAATTTACATCTCCTGGGTGCTAGGTAAAGCAATATGTCAACAATCTAGTCTGTAAACATGTTCCAGGCAGAAGACAGTCACATCACCTAGGTGGTGAGCCCCATAACATGTCACTATTTTTCCTGTAAACTACTCCAGGACACACACACACACACAAATGGTCACATCACATAGGTAATGGCCCAAAGATATCTCACAGTAATCTCTCTGGACTGGCTTAAAAAGGAAGGGAGAGTCATATCACTTAGGTGACTGGCATGTCACAATATCCACTGAGGGCAGACAGAGCCCAGGCAGAAATGTCACATAATCTAGGCCCTCAACCCAGGTATAGTTCACAATCTAATGTGTAGCCTGGACCTCAGCAAAAAGTAAAACCAATCAGGGTTTGAGTAAAGGAATATGTTACAACTACACCTGTGTAAAAGTCAAGAGATAAAATTTACAATCCTACACCTTTCCCAGCTCCAGGTTCAGAGTCAATACTTACTGGGAGTTTTGTCCAAAAGGCAAGTAACAACCTCAACAATGAACTGGATCCATACATGACACCCCACTTGCAGACACTGTAAAAGAGTCAAAAGATCACAGGAGTGCCAAATCTTGGCCCAAGAGTCACCATCCTATCTTTGTACAGAGTTCCACATGATAGTAACAATGCCAGCTTTTGACTGTCTTTGGATGTGAAATTCCTAGAACCACAAGAGTAGACAGTGTTCATTTCTAGAGGTGAAAATATGGTTGGCTGGTTGTGCATACATAAGTAACTATCTCACCTGTGCTTTGAGCCCTGTTATGACACTCTTTGTACCAACTGAAGGCATTGTAAGGTATGTGTAAAAGTCACAATACTCTCTGAGACCCACATGCTTACATGGACCCACAATTTTATTTATTTCACTAAGCCCAGAAAGAGACAACATCTCCTTTATTGGCTGTGTCCAGGTATAAATTCATCACTGTCCTTGTGAACGGGGTCCAGGAATTAGTTATCACCTTGCTTGTGAATAAATTCATATACAACAGTCAAATTTCAACTGTGAACTGCATTATGACAGATTCAGGGGCCTCAGCAGTGGGCATTGTCCATATGTGAGGGTGACAAACTTAACTTTTGACCAGACCTGCATGTGAGTCACAATTTAAATTGTGTGGTGAGCCTTATTTTGAGATATTCTGTACCACCTAAGAGAAATATACCATATGCTAGCATTTAATAGTCCTCTGATATTTCTAGGCAGAAACCCAGGACAGTATCCATTGCCCCAAGCCTAGCCATAGTCAACATTTTCTTTTGGCTTGGTCTAGGTACAACAGTCAACACCATGCTTGTGACCTGGTTCCAGATATTAGTCACCATTCAGCCTGCTGTCAGTCACAGTTCCAACTGTGGACTGCACTCATATGTGAAGGTGACAATCCTAGGCAAAAAGGAACAGTCAAGAAAGGACAGCCACATCTACTAGGTGCTGGGCCCAGTAATATGTCACAATCCCCCAGGTAAGCAGGTCCAAGGCAAGAGAGATGGATCATATTAGCTATGTGATGGGACAATAAATATGTCACAATCCCCCTTGTGGGCTAAACCAGGCAGGAGAGGAATGTCACATCACAGAGGTGATTTCTGTGTAAATATTTTAAAATTCCCTCTGAGAGAATGACCCAGGCAGAAAAGTCATATGCTTGGCCTAGGTAAGTGTCACAATCCAAATACCTTACTAGACCCAGGAAGAAGAGTAAAATTAATCAGGTACTGGGCAAAGGCATATGTCAAAATTACACCCACCGAAAGATCCAGAGATCAGATTCACAAAAGTGCGATTGGGCTGGCTCCAAATACAACAGTCAACACCTCTTATGAGTTCTGTCCATGTACCCGAGTCATAATCTCAACTGGATCTGTGCAAGAAAGCCCATCCTCATGTGCCAACAGTGTTTTAATAGGAAAGACACAGCTTCACAGGGGTGTTTAATCTTGATACAAAAGTCATCATCTTACCTATGGTCTGAAATCCATATGAGAGTCACAGTTTCAACTTTCATTTTTTTTCCAGGTGTTATATCAGAACCTCAAAATGAGCTGTGTTTATGTAGGAGGGTGATTATCCTGTCATGAGTGTGCAGACAAGAGTCACAATTTTATCTGTGTGATAGACCCTGTTTCAAAAACTTTCTTTGCCACAAGGCATTATACAATATGCTTGAGTGTTGTAGGACTCTGCGACCTTTGTACAAGAAAGAAACCCAGGACATTACCTGTCACCCTAAGCCTAGCTACTAAAGTCAACATCTCTTCTATTAGATAGGTCCAGGTATTAGAGTCACAATTGTGCCTGTGAACTAAGTCCAGAATTGAGTCACCATTCTATCTGTGACCAGATTTACATATGGTAGCCACAATTGCAACTGTGGACTTAATCTGCATGTGAGATTCATGAGCTCACTAGTGGGCTCCATTTATGTATAATGGTGACAATCCTAACTTTCTACAGGTTATGCTTATGAGAGTCACAATAGCACCTGTGTTCTGATTTGTATTATGATACTCTCTGTACAACCCAAGGGCTTCACAATGTATGTGTGTTTGTCAGAGCCTTCTGTAACCTTTCTAAAAGTAGCTGACCAGAATTCTACCTTCTGCCCTAAACCTACCTATGAGAGTCAAAATCTCTCCAATTGGGTGACTCCACATCTGAGAGACATTATCATGCCTGTGTGCTGGGCCTAGGTATAAGTTACAATTCTACCTGTGCATGGAGAGACAAGAGGGTCATATTATCTGGGTGCTGGGCCAGAGTTTTTTCACAAACGTCTGTGTTGGCAGGTCCCCCAAACATGTACATCACCTGGATGTTAGACTCAGTGATATATCAGAATGCCCAGTGTAGGCAGGACACAGGCCGGAGAATTACATTACCTGGGTGCTGGGCCCAGTATTATTTCAAAGTTTTTATGGAAGCAGGGCACAGCCAGCCAAAAAGAGTCACCCTATTTAGGTGCTGGGATCAGTAATATGTCACATTTTTTTCTGTTAACAAGAACCAGTAAATCAAGGAGAGTCATATTCCAAAGTAGTGGGCCCAATGATATGTCAAAATCCACAGTGCAGGCAGAGCATAGGAAGGAAAGTGAGTCACATTACTTATGTTGATGGGCCAAGAGACATGTGACAAAATCCACTGTGGGAAAGGGAAAAGTGTAGGCAGGAGGGTCGCATCACCCAGGGGCTTGGCCCAGGTATATGTCAGAAGCTTAACTCACAGTTGATGGCTAGGCTTCCACAAGAGAGTAAAGTCAATCAGATGCTTGGCAAAGGTACATTGTACTATTACACCTGCAGGTATGTCTAGGAATGAGATTCACAATCCTGCAAATTTCCAGGCTTCAGATAGGAGTGCAAATGTCTTTTGTGAGTTGTGCCCAAGTATGTAAGACGGAATCTCAGTGGTGGAGTTGATCCAGCCTCAACTCCAGCTGAAACAGTGTCCCAGTGTGGTAGCCATATTCTCACAGTTGTGTTGAATCTTGGTTTGAAAGTCACTATTCTACCTGTGGATCAGATCAACATATGAGAGTCACAATTCCACTTTCAACTTCCTTCAGATGTGACATTGAGAACCTCAGCAGTGGGGCATGTTGATGTGAGAGGGTGACAATTCTTTCTGTTGCTGAGTGTACATACAAGGGTAACAATCTCACCTGTGTGCTAGGCCATGTTAACACACTCTCTGTACCAGAAAGTTTGAGAGTTTCAGAGTTTCAATATGCTCTGAGACTTTTGTGGTGGTATAATCCCATGGTACTATTCATTGCCTTAAAGGCAGGCATGAGAGTCGGTATTTCCTTTTTGACTGGTTCAGGTATGAAAGTCATTACCATGCCTGTGAGCTGAGTTCAGAAATATTATTTGTCACCATCATATTTGTGGCTGGATGCACATATGGCAGGCATAATTCCGGCTGTAGACTGTGCCTACAGGTAAGATTCAGGGTCGAACAGTGGGCTCTGTCCATGTGTGAGGGTGACAATCCCATCAGCTGGGTGTATGTAGGAGTGTAACATTCTTATCCTGTGTTGGGTCCTGTTATGACACTCACTGTACAACCTAAGTGCTTTATATAACATCTGTGGGTGTCATAATTTTCTGTGAACTTTGTACAAGTAGAAGACCCTGGATGAGTAAAAATCTCTCACATTGTCTTGGTCCAGTCATGAGAGTCATTACCATACCTGTGTTTTAGGCTTAGAGACATGTCACAATTTTAACTCTGAGCAGAGACCAGGAAGAAGAGCCATGTCATCTAGGTGCTGAGTCCAGCAATATGTTAAAATCCTCCCTCAGAGCAGGGCCCTGTTCTAGCAGAAGACTTACATCACCTAAGTGCTTGGCCCATGTATGTGTAACAATTCAGTCTGCATGCATCCGGGGCCTACAAATGTGAGTCAAATCACTCAGATGTAAGGCAAAGGTATATGTCACAGTTACACCTTTAGGAAAATCCAAAAATAAGATTTATAATTTGGGACTTGTCTCATCTTCAGGTATAAGTCAATATCTCCAGCGAGTTGGGACCAGGAAGAAAGAGCCATGTCATCTAGGTGCTGAGTCCAGCAATATGTTAAAATCCTCCCTCAGAGCAGGGCCCTGTTCTAGCAGAAGACTTACATCACCTAAGTGCTTGGCCCATGTATGTGTAACAATTCAGTCTGCATGCATCCGGGGCCTACAAATGTGAGTTCAAATCACTCAGATGTAAGGCAAAGGTATATGCACAGTTACACCTTTAGGAAAATCCAAAAATAAGATTTATAATTTGGGACTTGTCTCATCTTCAGGTATAAGTCAATATCTCCAGCGAGTTGGGTCTCAATACATGCATCACAATCTTAATGGTTGACTTCATTCATGTAGGGGATCTCCAATCACACCTGCAAATTGGTCTTGGTAGAAAAACCACAGCCTAACAGGTGTGCTTAATTCTGGTCTGAAAGTGCAGCCAATCTGTGGACTGCATTTACACATTAGAGTCACAATTCTAACTTCTGTCTTCAGTTTTGAGATTCATGACCTATGCTGGACCCTATTGTGACACTCTGGGCCCCTGGAGGACTTTATACAATATGCATGAGAGCTGAAGTTCACTCGGAGGCCTTTATTCTGGTACAGAACCACAATCTTATTTGATTCCCTGTTTTGCGGGATAAGTGTCAACATCTTTCTCGTTGGCTAGGTCCAGATATAAAATGTGTCATCATGCCTGTGAGCTGGATCCAAACATAGGTCACAATCCTGCTTGTGAACAGTGACAAGGCAGAAGAGTCACATCACCTGGTGCTTGTCTAGAAATACATAATTTTATCTCCTGTGGGAAAGGGTCAGGGTAGAAGAGTCATATCCCTTTGGTGCTGAGCCAGTGTGAAAATGTTACAATACCCTCTGTAAGTGGGACCCGGGCGAAGAAGAGGAGAATCACCTCACTTTGCAGCTGGTACCATGGATATGTCACAACTTCCCATGTGATGACGATCAGGCAGGATAGGAGTCACATTACCTAGGTGCTGAGTTCAGCAGTATGTAAAAAAATCCCCTCAGGGCAGGGCTCAGGCAAAAGTGTCACATCACTCC